GCTTTAGTACAGTAGAGTATGAATAGTTTGTAAGACTATATATATATATATATATTACATGAACTAACCATTACACAGTAAAAACTTTAAGCACAGTTTACCATAATTTATTCTTGTAAATCGTTTATATATATATATAATGTTAACAGATGAAAGTGAGAAAATTAGCGTTGGTAGAGCATTAATCAAACTTCAAAAGAATAATAAGCAAAAACTGATCTTACAGTTTATGATAAAAATTTCATAATTTATCATAATTTAAATTCAGTTACGATATCGTTAGTGGTCTACAAGAACTTTGTAAGTATCATACAATAAAATCAAATAATGTAAATTAAAAAAAAATAAGTAATGACATAAGCCTTAAGCTAAATGAAAAGAAAAAAAAACTCATGCAGTTATAGATAATAGCAGTTTATGCCAAAACGTTTTACTATTTACAATTATTTAGTTCTGCTGCTGTGTTTTACCACTTTAAAATGCTTAACTGTACTGTTGTGATTTACTATTTTAAAGTCCCTCGGTGGATCAGCGGTGAGTTCCCGGACTTACAATTCTAAAATCCGAGGTTCTATTCCCTGCGGTGGAAAGAGCGCAGATAACCTATTGTATGGCTTTGAGTTAAAAAAACAATTACCTTAGTTTTTAATTCCGTTGCTGTGTTTTATTACCTTAATTTTTTTAGTTTTGCTGCTATATTCTATCACTTTAAGAGTATTAATTTTGCTGCTATATTCTATTACTTTAAGAGTATTAATTTTGTTGCTGTGTTTTATTATTTTAATTTTTTTTAGTTTTGCTGGCTATATTCTATCACTTTAAGAGTATTAATTTTGCTGCTATATTCTATCACTTTAAGAGTATTAATTTTGCTGCTATATTCTATCACTTTAAGAGTATTAATTTTGCTGCTATATTCTATCACTTTAAGAGTATTAATTTTGCTGCTATATTCTATCACATTAAGAGTATTAATTTTGCTGCTATATTCTATCACTTTAAGAGTATTAATTTTGCTGCTATATTATATCACTTTAAGAGTATTAATTTTGCTGCTATATTCTATCACTTTAAGAGTATTAATTTTGTTGCTGTGTTTTATTTACCACTCGATTATTTTTAATTCTTTATTTGATTTACTACTTTAAAATGTTTTATTTTTCCGATGCTGTTGTTGTTGTTGTTTTAGCGCAAAGTTATACAATGGGCTATACGCGCTCTGTCCATCGCGGGCGAATGAATCTCGGATTTTAACATTGTAAGTTTGTAAACTTACAGATGACTCACCGGGAGATATTTTTTTACAATTTTAATGTTTTCATCCTACTTATTTGCTTATCATGTAAACCTTTTTAACTCTATTGCTGTGTCCTAGTATTTTAAGGTCCCCTGGTGGGATAGCGTTAGGTTTAGGGACTTATAACGCTAAGATTCGGGATTTGATTCCCTTCGGCTGACAAGGCAGATAGTTCAATATGTCTTTGCTATAAAATAATCAACCAATCAACTACTATTTTAAGATTCTGCTGCTGTGTTTACTGCTTTAAAATTGTTCATTTTTTCACTGTGCTTTATTGCTTTAGAATTTTTAATTTTGTTATTGTGTTTTACTGCTTTAATATTTTTAATTCTGCTGCTGTATTGTACTGCTTTAAAATATTTAATACATACTGCTGTGTTTTACTGCTTTAAAATCTTGAATTCTGATACTGTGTTTTACTGCTTTAAAATTTTGAATTCTGATACTGTGTTTTACTGCTTTAAAATTTTGAATTCTGATACTGTGTTCTACTATTTTAAAAATGTTAATTCTGCTGCTGTATTTTACTTTTTTAAAATTCTAAATTTTGCTGCTGTGTTTTACTGCTCTGAAAGTTTTGATTATACTATTGTATTTTACTGATGTAAAAGTTTTGGGTATACTATTGTATTTTACTGCTTTAAAATTTTAAATACTACCGCTGCGTTTTAATGTTTTAAAAATTTTAATCTGGCTCTGACCTGATTTATTTTTATTGTTTTGTAAATTATAGGCCACTGGTTTCAAAATGTTACCTTTGAACTTTTTAAAAACATTCAATTGTGTATTTTACCTCATATTTTCATTTAAAGTTGAATAAATGTCACTAATACAAACCCCATTGAGAAAGTAAGTTTTATTATTACTCGAGGATGTGAATAGTCTTTTGAATATGATTTGTAACGCAAATAAGAAAAATAATTATCAAAACGGAGAACTCCAAGAATTATAGTAAGTACATATATGGAGTTAATAAAATTGAATTATATTCGCAGTCAACTTTCAATACGCACATAAACATGATACCAAAAATCTATAGATTTATCTGGTTTACAAGCAGTGTTATTTGTGTGTTTTGATAATTTGAAAACAAAATAATCAGCTACTTAAAGTTCTAAGATATGTGAAAGGATTGCTCGTTGTTAAGCGTAAAACTACTCAATCGGCTACCTGTACTGTGCCCACCACCGGTGTCCAAACCCTGATTTTAGCGTTATAAGCTTTCAGACATATTGCTGAACCACTGGGAGCTCCATAATATGTGTATTATTGATAGATTTAAAAGTATGTAATAATATAGATGAAAAGCATATATGAACTATTATTTGGTATCCTATTTTCCCTTAAAACGTCAGAACATTTCAATATTTTTTTCATTTAAATAGCCATTGCCACTGAATATAATATATCCTTGATATATATACACAAACGACTGAACAAAGTATTCAGAACGCTAATACATAGAGAATATCAGCAAATCTTCTTCTTTTAAAAACCTGAATTTGATATTAGGATTACATTTTATTGTACTGAAATATTTCTTCTTCACTCTTTTATTTTGTAGGACAATAAAAAGATGGAAATTCGAAACCATGTATTAATCAACACTTCTGGTACAAGGTAAAATAATCACTATTGTGAATAATGTTAATACGTCCTTTTTTTTATTCAAATAACTATTCTTCTACTGCATATATCACCTCTTTTTGATATATTAACTACAAGTTAAAGCTCATTCGTGCACAAGCAGGAACAAAACAGCTATCTATACCTTTCACAATGCTTCAAGGATGGAAAGTGTCAACCCCTGGATTGTTGGCTTTCTTGTGAATTCTCAAACGCTGTAGTGCGGTTTCTGCTTCTGGCAAAACTAGTGGAATAGGTGATGCTCTAATTTCAATGATTAAATACGACATTTATGTGTTATTTTGAAAACTTGCGATACCTATGAGTCTATTAGACTTTAAATGTCTGAAAGTACACAGTTTTAAACTCTTTAGTATTCCGTTGCTTGGCCTTATTTATATCTTACTCAGTAGGATTAGAACATGTCTGTGTTCAGCAAAATCAAAACAGCCCAGTGTTTCAGATGAAATGGCCGCCACGCTGGCCATTCAACGTCGGCAGTCTCGTTGTGTTGTCTAGACAGGCTCAACCCTTTGAACTCATGCGGCTGATGGGTGAGACCGGTCATCGCTTAACCGTCTGAGCTGGTTGTTGTTAAGCAGGCAACACACAGAAGGCGATGCGCTGTAAAGTGAACGTTCTCCGAGTCTGTAAAATAAGAAAACGTTGTGAATATACGGTTATTGTTGGGCATGAAAAACGTTAGAGCAGCATGTTAGTAGAGGTAGCATTGTGATGAAATGACCGTGATTTGGTCGTGGTTATCGGGCGATCACGTGAGCCGAAATCTGTCAGGATGTGTGAGCTCCAATCTCATTGAACCCGTGGTAGCCATATCAATGAAAACTAGGCTTTTACTTCCTACACATGAATTTCCTTTCACACGTCAGAACTATGGTAAAAGTATGAATCGAAAGTTTGGGGGAATGTCCTGAGTCCCGGATTGACATTGCTGAATTTCTTACACTCACTGGATGAAGTTATCATAATATGTGTCTGTATAAACAACGCCAGAAGCTCAGTGCTAATAGTGTGATAACCTGAGCCATTTGTTGTTACTCGTTATGACGTCTCACATGGTGTCTTTGACCCGTTCGTGTTTTTCCGACTCGGCCTAAATTACCGAAGAAGTTGGACTCTTGCCATATCTTCAACAAACAAGTATCCTAATAAAGAAAAACAGGTTAGTTCAGCTGCATGTGTTCTACACTTTCTTGTTATTGTGTAGAAAAAAAGGAGGGGGAAACAACTGGTTTTCCGCATAACAAACTGTATGCGTTTTTGTTTAGTATAATTAAATGATTTTAGGGGAAGAAGTTATGGCCCTTCATCGACTTGTTAGCAACAAAAAGATGGCTATTCTGACGTATCATTTTCTTGTTAAACATTGAAAAATGGTTTTAAGTTAGATGACAACACAGCCGACTGTATGGGTATGTAAATAACGAACCTAAATCAATAGTGATTATCAAGTACAGATGTATAACATTAAAGCATTAACGATTATGTTATCATGGACACATCCTTCAGTTATACCTGAACAAAACATTGAAGCGATGAATTAACTAATGATGTCGCTGGGGTTCCAGACTTATGACTATTACTTCATCATTATTCTGTATCAATGAATTTTACTTTGCTACCACTCTTCTGCAGGTGCTAAGATTTCGTTTTTTCCTTCTTCAATAATTTAACACTTTAAGAGAACAAGAGCGTCCCCTGGTGGGACAGCGGTAAGTCTTCGGATTTACAATGCTAAAATCAGCGGTTCGATTCCCCCTCGGTGGACACAGCAGATAGCCGGATGTGGCTTTGCTATAAGAAAACACACAAGAGAACAAGAAAAAAAAACGTATACCGACTTGACCAGTTAGAAGCTTCATTTTCACAAATGTGTTGCAAGTATATTCATTAACTTAACACGAGTGAGTGATTCAGTTAGTTTTCCATGTTTTGTAATGAGTAATAGTTTAATATAAAAAATTACACTGAGCATGTAATACTTATCTTATACAGTAGGATGTTATGAAAGTAAGCAATCTTTAACTTGATTGATTAATCACTTCTTATTGAAACACAAAAGACACAATGGGTGTTTATATTATGAGATTAGGTATAAATATCTGACAACGTTTTAAAATTCCTCTAAAGAGATAACTTTCACGTAGTAACGTATTATAAACTGTAAGAGAGCTGAAACAAAAATCATGTAGTTCGACATAAAATATGTCATAACATTGTGGACAAATAATAACATTCCTGCGTAAGTGACAGTTCCAGTATATATAACCTGTACATAAAAAGGTATAGATTTAAATAATAACATCCCTGCGTAAGTGACAGTTCCAGTATATATAACCTGTACTTAAAAAGGTATAGATTTAAATGATAACATCCCTGCGTAAGTGACAGTTCCAGTATATATAACCTGTACATAAAAAAGTATAGATGTTAAATAACAACATCCCTGCGTAAGTGATAGCTCCAGTATATATAACCTGCACATAAAAAGGTATAGATTTAAATAATAACATCCCTGCGTAAGTGACAGTTCCAGTATATATAACCTGTACATAAAAAAGTATAGATGTTAAATAACAAACATTTATTTTAATAAATAAAATCAAATTATCCTAATATAGGACCTTTAATCCAACATGATAAAAATAAACAAGTTAGGGAGTTATCTAGTTTTGAAGTTTGCTTTCAAACTTCTGGACAGAGGTAACTCTCACGTAGCATATAATCTGAGCCACAGCTGATAAGAGCTAGTTGCGATATAATAAACTTCTACAATGTGGAAGCAGCTGGAAGCTCGAACTAACTGTGGATTGTAATATACACAACCTTACATAATAGATTACTACTTGTTATATTTATACGAGTGTTGACAAATCTTAAAAGTATGGGTATAAATTACACTTAAGTTTTATACATTATATATAAAGTTCATAGTGTTGTCCTTACCTTTGTTGATGTACAACTCATATAAATTAATACCGTTGTTCTTACCTTTGCTGATGTACAACTCATATAACGTTAATACTGCTGTTCTTACCTTTGTTGATGTACAACTCATATAAAGTTAATACTGTTGTTCTTACCTTTGTTTATGTACAACTCAAATAAAGTTCATACTGTTGTTCTTACCTTTGTTGATGTACAACTCATATAAACTTAATACTGTTGTTCTTACCTTTGTTGATGTACAACTCATATAACGTTAATACTGTTGTTCTTACCTTTGTTGATGTACAACTCATATAAAGTTAATACTGTTGTTCTTACCTTTGTTTATGTACAACTCATATAAAGTTAATACTGTTGTTCTTACCTTTGTTGATGTACAACTCAGATAAAGTTAATACTGTTGTTCTTACATATGTTGATGTACAACTCATATAAAGTTAATACTGTTGTTCTTACCTTTGTTCATGTACAACTCATATAAAGTTCATACTGTCGTCTTTACCTTAGTTGATGTACAACTCATTACGAAGAGTTTACATTTTTGTTACATTATTACTAATTATTTTTGTCTAGTGCAAGCTAAGCTAACATTGTTATGTGCGAGCCGCGATGTTTATCCATGTTGACTAACATGTATGATATTTTGGTCTTCTTGAAGACTGAGTTTTCTTTCTTCTTCGTGTTACATATCGGTGCTCTCTAGTGAGACAGAATGTTACATAAGGATTTGTTTGCTACACTATTTGAGCCATCTATACCGTTCTAGCAGATTTGTTATATAAAAAGAAAAGTAGAATGAGTAGAATGAGCTAACAGTAACAACATATATAATAACAATGAAACAAAGGTGAAAACAGGCACTAACTGCCTTACACAGATTACAAAATTCGACTGTAAAGGGGTTTCATTAAGACGAAAGTTAAAGTGACGAAGGATTTGTGCTATCAGTGTAAGGCGACCATTTTCACCTTTCTTTCATCATGAATATATATGCTGCCTAAATCATCAATCAAATAACATATCATAATAATTCTTACCCCAATGTTGTTTTTTCTGAAACAGTCCATCTTTTACTTTATTTATTTGTTATAAATAAGAGCTTTCACTATAAGAAAGTTTTCTTAAAGTCACAAAATGGACAGCGGAATACATTAATATTACCATTCACAAACAATATTAAGACCAACTGTATAAACTAACTCTTTGTGAAAGATGCTCTTTTCTTTTCTATTCAAAGTCGTGATATTTTTTTATGTAGTGAGTTGATTGAGTTTAATTTTCACTCTAATCTCCTTTCAAAATGTTTTATTTCATCAGTTTTTCTATAAAATATTCGTTAGTTTAATAAGTTGCATGGAAAACTCAAACACTGCTAAGCCTAAAGTTCAGAAATGTTTATTTAGGGTTTTTCCCCGTTGTTATTTAGCACAAAGCTACACAATAAGCTATCTATGCTCTGTCAATCACGGTTATCGAAACCCGATTTTTAGTGGCGTCTACCTGCAGATTTGCCGCTGAGCCACTGAGAGGCTTTTTATTTAGGATAGTTTTTACGAATTTCATTTAAAGGTGAATTTCCGTCGAGGTCAGGAATTAACATTTGCGTTACTATTCTTTTTAAATCTCTTTATTATACACGGCCGTGTATTAGATTCAATGTATTAGACATGTTAAAAAGAATGCTGGTGAACATTTTCGACGACAAACTCCAGAACTCTACACATAGAGGTATATATTTATAAATAATTTACTCATTCAAACCATATAAACCCTGTTATAAACGTTTGCTATTCTGCAGTCGATTTGTATATATATATATATATATATATTTATACAATAACAACTAGAACAAGACTCTGTAATACTTGAAGTGTCCCTATTGTATGGATACTCTCACTACGTACATATGTGAGTATGTTTAAGTTAATTTTATGTCGAGAACAATAGAAATATTACGTTTTTATCATAAAATTCCAGTTTTAAAGTGTTGAAACTAACAAATTTTATTAATATTCAAATCATCAGTGCTCTTATTATAAAAACTTAAATTTGCACACTCATTTCTTGAAGTGTTTATAAATAATTTATTTATTCCAATTGTATTTTACAGCCACTGTATGATGTGTCATGCATTATGTAACTGTAAAATATTACTCAACCTACATTTTAGGTGCGCATGTAAGTAGAAAGTGTAAATATAAGGCGAAGATCTTTAGAACGTGGAATAACTGTTGAGAATTTATGTCACCCTCAAAAGAAAGTGGAATTATTCAGAGTTAGGTTAAAGGGGTTTGAAAAGATGATATAAGGAATGCTGAGATAAAATTACTTTTCTTTTAGTGTCGTATAAACTATGATAATCTGTAGATGAAGGAAAACAAGAAAAATGGGGGAAGAGGAGTTAAAGATTAGGCTGACGATAGTTTCAATATTTTCTATATTTGTTTCAAACTATGATAATCTGTAGATGAAGGAAAACAAGAAAAATGGGGGAAGAGGAGTTAAAGATTAGGCTGACGATAGTTTCAATATTTTCTATATTTGTTTCAAATCTGACTGAATTTAAAAGTAATACCTAGCTTGCTATAATTGTTTAACGGTGAAGATGGAAGCTGACTATTCGTTTAAGAGCTTAATGGTATATGTAGTTTTATTGGTCACTAAGAGCTTTTATGTTCTTCTAAAACATTCACCAGTATTATGAAATTCAGCCCTTTTTTCAGGCTGATTCGTGAGTGCAACATTTAATATTTGATTTTGAAAAAGACGCATTTATGGAATATAATGTGATAAAATCGTATATATATATATTATCCTGCTTGAAAAACCGATAGGAATTAAAAAACAGATAAAAAATAATCTCTCAAACTTTTACCAAACACACATACTTAAAAAGTAAACTGGTTCATCGGACGTTGCTCTACAATAAGTAAATAAACTGGAGATAAGGACTTGTTTTTCTCATCAGCAAAATCTGCATAGTAGTTCCTGAAGGGCATCGTCCGGAATGCCCAGTTTTTCAGTATACTTGTTGCTTCTTCACAAAAACGTGATCGACACCTAGCATCTGTTCGACGTTTTAAGAAACAGACATTTAAAATGTTACGTAATGAAACGCTAATAACAGCAATGTATAATATATATATATATATATGCATTATTTCTTTGTTTTACTGGTTTTGCTACTTATACAACTAGCGGGTAGGATACCCTGAAACGTGTAATTCACTTTATACTAAATTATGTAAAATTAAAGAAGCAAGTAACATGTTTAATCAAAAATTATCTAAGACTGACGACGTTTGCGTTAATATATATGGCTCAGTTACTGCTTAAACGTTTTAAAATAAGCATCACTAATACTTAATGATTTATTATTTCCCATTATTTGTTGTTTTTGTCGTTTTTTTATCGCAAAACTTCACAATGGGCTATCTGCTATCTCTCTCTCTCTACCACGAGACTCGAACCCTGGATGCTTAACATTTTAAGTCTGAAACTTACTGTTTACCTGTTGACGGACTTTCCATTTCATTATACTTCAAATATTGCAAGTTTTCTACGGGTTTCTAGCTCCTTAAGCTACTTTAAATTTTCCATTTCATCTTTGATGATTATAGAAATATAGATAAACTAAAGTAAAGGAAACAATTTTTAAATCCAGTAAAACTTCTTGGGTAACACTGTCTTGAAACAAGAAACTTTATACGCCCTCTATCGCTTAAAAATATAGCATTGTAATTCTTTTTACT